CCCTCCATCTCCTCCAACGTCTTCCCCTGAGTCTCCGGTAAGATCATGTAAAAGAAAATCCACGACACCATCGCAATTCCGGCGTACAGGAAGAACGCACCGCCAATCGTTATGGCTTTGTACAGTGAAATGAATGTCATGGCTATAATCCCACTCGTCGTCCTATTCACCGCCACTCCCACACTCGCCCCTAGTGCACGTAGCCTCAACGGGAAGATCTCCGAAGTGTACACCCATGTAATTGGTCCCAGTCCGCTTGAAAATGAGCCAACGCATGATAGGACCGCCACTATGCATAGCACCAATGCCCATGTCAGCTTTTTCTCTGAGTGGTCGATTATGGTGAGTGCTGTCGCGAGGGTACCCAAGGAAATTGTCACTGCAGCAACGCTGCCAAGGAGCAATGGCCGCCGCCCCACCCGATCTAAGAGGAACGTGGAAATCAAGATGAAAGTGGTCTTGACCAATCCAACAGCGATGGTGGCAAGGAACTGGTGGCTGTTTGATGCGATTCCAGCCTTTGCGAAGATTCTAGGACTGTAGAGTACAACGGAGTCCATGCCACAGGCTTGCTCGAAAAAGTGGATTCCAAGGGCGGCGATTAAGACATGTCGAACGGAGGGAGTGGGGTGGATGAATAGCTCTTTCCAAATGCCTTTGCCTTGGCTGTGTTTTGTAACTTGAACAATATCATCGTTACAGTCTTGAGGGATTCCGGCAGCCTCTTTAATGTCGTTGAGCCTGTTTTGAGCTTCTTCTTTGGACTCACAGATTTTGTTAAGGACCTTCTTGGCCTCGCCGAGGCGGCCCTGTATGACCAGCCACCGTGGCGACTCCGGCATGAAAAGGATCCCAATGGCCAAGCCCGCGGAGGGGATTGCACCCACTCCAAGCATCATCCGCCACGCCAAGTGCATCGGAAGCCCCGAGAATGCGTAATTGGATACATATCCAAGTAATAATCCGATGTTGATGAACACCTGCAGACAGAACACTTATAGTGAAAACCAAATCTGAGGGATGAAATAGATACTTAAAAATATTTAAGGTCCATTTTAGCATAATATGATAAAGCTGAGGGGCCAAATGTTATTAAACAAAAAAAAAAGGTAAGAGATGACGAACCTCAGGAAATGAGGCGAGGAAGCCGCGGCTTACTGCCGGAGAGACCTCGGCGGTGTACACGGGAGCAATCATGAGAGCGAAACCGACGCCGATACCAGCCACAAATCGACCCACCATGAGAAAAGCATAGTTTGTAGAAAACCCCATGAGAAGAGCTCCGACGAAGAAAATAACACCTGCGATCACGACAGTGTACCGGCGACCAAGCCAGTCGGAGGTTCTTCCAGCAGCGAAGGAGCCGATTAAGGAATACAAGTTGAGTATACCCATAAGTACTTCCACCTGAGTCTCGCTGATTTTGAGTTCTCTCTGAATGTAGATCACAGCTCCACTCATCACCCCAGTGTCTAAATTCCAAAATTCATA